CACACACACACACATACATCCTCCCCCCCCCACACACACAAACAATATAAATAAACACACACGAAAACACATATACATAAACACACATAATTGTATAATATATAAAAGTACGTTTTATGAAAATAAATATGCAAATAGACAAACTGACTACGTTTTTGCATTATATTTTTCGTAAGAATGTATCCACAGCACATCCTAAAAGCGTCACCAGGAACACTGCACCAGACACACGTTGCAGGATACTAGCCAGGGTTGAGAAATAAATTAAACGTACAGCGGGTTCATAGTATCGTAAATATCTCAAGGTCTTAAAATAACGAACCCCACTTAAATCCGTTCTTTTTCTTACAATATAACCTGATAAACGACTCACGATTCGCATAATATAAAGATAGCAAACTCTGATTGAAATTTGTTTTACGCCCCCATCGACATAATTTAGACCGACTGGTGGACCGGCTGTTTTGATCCTGCCTGCCAGGGCCAACTCGTGCTGAGTGAGTTACACCACAGCGTCCCAGCACACGGAATTTTTTCGCCTCCTCGTGCTCACCCAGCAGTAATGGGTACCTGACTTCGAGTTGGGGAAGTGAAGGCGGCGTGGAAAGGAACTGGCCACCCTACCACAATAATATGCCGAAGTCCCAGGAAGTTGTCTCACTAATAAGACAATCCCCAATGTCCGGATCGGGTGCAGGAAAAACTTTTAAAATCCCAGCATAGAAATATGATACTTGATAGATTATTAACTTCCATACTCGGGAATCGATCTCCATTCTCTTGTGTTCATTGGTGAAGACCCTTGCCGTCATGCCACAAATATCAGTACTAATTTCATACGGATGCATCACCGACGTCCGTGGTGTAGCGGTTAGTGCTTAGCCGTTCACTCGTGCGATTCCCCGAGTGCAGAGAATTTTCATCAAGTATCTCCGTCTTTCTGCTGGTACGTTGTATCCCTTTTTTCAGCCTGGGTCGGTCCTGGCAAGCAGGATTAAAGCAGCCCTCTTAAATTATTTGAAATGTGTCGATGGGGGCGTGAAACACCTACGATTTCACAAAAAACACAAACTTACAAAAAAACAAGAAGACAAACACACTATCGCTTCGACGAGTAGAACATGAAAGTGCAAAACAGATGCCAGACACCGTGTACTACAGTTGACCTTCCTCGACCTAATCTCCGGCTGTATGAGTATAAACAACCCCCGGACCAATGTATACACCCCGGGCCATGATATGAGACATGAAAGTTCTGCACCAATCTCAAGACACTACTACACACAGGCGGGCCACACATTATGGAAAATTCACAATCTGTTGTGAAGATGTTAGTGAGGAGACGAGAGTAAAACCCACAAGATTTTGATTTATGGGGTGAAAGAAAGGGAGGGACGGATTTTTTCTTTTTTCAAAAGGAGATGGCGGGCGGTAGTTGGTAGGGGTGTGGGTGAAGTGGGAAGGAGAACAAGACAGAGGAGCATTGACAAGCCAATCAACACTAATTTTAACATCAGCAATTATTTCTGCTCTCTCGGTGAAGAGATATAAAAATACAATGTACAGTGAATCCAGGAAAAATCCCTGTGTTTTCCCGGCACGTGTCTTTTTCCCAGAGAGTTTGCCTGGCTGTGAAAGAGTTGTCCACTCACTCCTTTGAGGGCTCATGTTTGACATTGACCTATATTTGCTCAATAGAAACAATGTCATATCTTTCATCTCTCTTTTATTTGATACTTCGGATGTGCACGTACTTACATCTCAGTGATAGATCCACTCTCTAGTAGATCCACTCTCTAGTAGATCCACTCTCTAGTAGATCCACTCTCTAGTAGATCCACTCTCCATCTTTCAAATATATCATGCCACTTTCAGTCTGCCTGTATTTGAAACCGAGGGCTTTAATGGTATTGACAAAAACACCGTTTTAAAAAAACTAACTAAAAAACCTCTCTAGTACTAGTAGCACTTCTAGTCTTCGCACTTACAAGACCTATTTGTGTTGCAAGTGCCGTAAAACTGACTATTGTCACCAATGCCCATGGCCTGTATTCTGACCACCATCTAATATTCAATGGGTACTTGGATGATTAAACCGGATCTAATGGTCACCTGTCCAAGACAATCACCAGTACAGATGCCCACCTCTCACACCCCCACCCGCCGAAACTCATTGCGTTATTTTAAAAAATATAAATATTACAATGATTCTGATCAAACACTAGATCTACTAACTTTCAGCACTTATATAACCTATTTATGTTACAAACACCGTAAACCTCTTACTACAACCACAAACAACTGACCACTGTCCCATATGTCTATGTCCTGTATTCTGACCATGATCTGGTGTCCGGCAGGTACCCGGATGGTCAAGCCAGGTCTAATGGTCACCTGTCCATGACAATCACCCGTACAGATGACCACTTCTTCTACCCCCCCTCCAATAAAAAACAACCCCTCTCCCCCGAACCCCCTCCCCCTCCAAAAAAATAATTAAATAATAAATAACAAACCCCCCTTCCCCAGAAAAAACCCAAACAAAAACAAACAACAACAACAATAATTATAATGATTGTGTCCAAGACACCACTACCCTTTAGTACTTAAAATTATGTGACCTAGATTCATTATGTTACAAGTGCCGTAACTGTCCTACAAAAACTACAAACAACTGACCACTATCCCCTATGTCCATGTCCTGTATTCTGACCACGATCTGGTGTCCGGCGGGTACCCGGATGGTCAAACCTGCTCTAATGGTCACCTGTCCAAGACAATCACATGTACAGAAGTCCAATTCCCCCCCCCCCCCGAAACTCATTGCGCAAATTTTTTTAAAATTTAAAATGTTACAATGATTCTGATCAAGACACCGCTAATCTTCGGCAGTTATATGACCATTATTTGTATTGTTTAGTTTAATTTAGTAAGAGTTTTACGGCGCCTGCAACTGCATGAGGTCATATGAGCACTCGAAACACAACAGTTCACAGCACGTGATTTATGTTTCAAGTGCCATTACTCTACTACAAAAACTACAGGCAACTGACCACTGTCCCCTATGTCCATGTCCTGTATTCTGACCACGATCTGGTGTCCGGTGGGTACCCGGATGGTCCAGGAACAGTTGAGGTTGGCGGGGTAGCTGTGGGGGTAGTGGGGGGAGTAGATGAAGCCGGCCACCCCGGTCAGGTTGTTGTTCCCACATGTGCTGCCCACCTCCTCAAACGGCT